AAAATTGAAACGTCCGGATGCATGTACCATGGGACCTTCAGTAGATGGAATGTAGATGGATAGTTGGTTGGCTCAACGTACAGTCAGAATTCTTCAGCAGGCGTGGCCTTCACTCGTGACCCCTCCACGGGAACCAACGAATTCTACGGTGAGTTCCTGGTGAATGCCCAGGGCGAAGATGTGGTTGCTGGAATCCGCACACCGCAAGAGCTGACTATCAAAGCCCGCAAGTCCCACGGTTCGGATCTGCCGTCCTTGGAAGAAGTGATGCCGCAGATTTTCAAGGAGCTGCTGTCGGTGCGGAGCCAGCTGGAGACCCACTACAAGGACGTCCCCGCAAATTGGATAATCCAATAATACAATAGGTAAATTAAAGTCATTAAGTTGTGTCGCTTGTCTCTGAGATCGAAGCAGGACATGCAAGACATCGAGTTCACCATACAACAAGGCAAACTCTACATGCTGCAGACACGCAACGGAAAGCGCACGGCTCCAGCTGCGCTGAAGATCGCGGTTGACATGGCCCAGGAGGGCTTGATCTCCAAATCGCAAGCTATCCTGAGCTTGAAGCCTGACTTGGTGGATCAGCTGCTGCACCCCACGCTGGACCCGAAGGCCAAGAAGGATGTGATCGCCAAGGGCCTTCCTGCCTCTCCCGGTGCTGCTGGCGGCAAGGTTGCTTTGCTTGAGTACACTCCCGTTTCCACTCCTGCCACGACGACCAATCACTGTCCCGAACCATCTTACAAATTCTAGCGAGAACCGCAGCAAGTCCAGCCGTTTCCCCCGCCCCACCCCCAATGTTCCTGGCCTGGTTTGTTCAGGTCGTCTTCTCTGCTGACGAAGCGGTGCGACGGTGCAAGGATGGCGAGAAGGTCATCCTGGTTCGCATCGAGACCAGTCCGGACGACATCCACGGCTTGCACGCAGCGGAGGGAGTCCTGACCACCCGAGGCGGGTCCTTAGCCGACTCGACCTGGCTGCCCAAACCCCCTATAATCCCTAAACCCCCGTCCGAGTGTGAGAGCCGAAACCCCAAGAACCTGTAGAAGGGACGAAAAGAGCCCGCAACAAAATGCACAATCAAGAACCCCTGATTACTGTAAGAGTATCCCTGCAGGTGGTATGACAAGCCATGCTGCGGTCGTCGCCCGCGGGATGGGCCGGCCTTGCGTGGCGGGTGCGGGCGCGATCACCGTGGACTACGCTGCAGCGAAGCTCACCGTGGGTGCGGTGACGGTTGCAGAGGGGCAGATCCTCACCATCGATGGAAGCACCGGAGAGGTCATTGTTGGCGAAGTTCCCACGGTGCCTCCACAGCTGTCTGGATCCTTCGGGACCATCATGGAGTGGGCGGATGAGTTCCGGGACATGAAAGCACCGAGCTAAGCTAAAAGGGAGCACACGGTCATGGCGTCAGCCTTCCTGCTTGTGTGTGTTTATGATGCCTGAGGTCCGAGCCAACGCGGAGACTCCAGCCGATGCTCGACAGGCCAAGGAATTCGGCGCGGAGGGCATCGGTCTCGTGAGGACCGAGCACATGTTCTTCGAAGGTCAGCGCATTGTGGCCATGAGGCAGATGATCTTGGCCACGGATGAGAGCGATCGGCGACAGGCGCTGGAGAAGCTCCTGGTCATGCAGCGTGAAGACATCACCGAGTCTTGGCGTTCTTCTGGTTGGCTCTTAGGACTTTAACTTTTTGGGTTCCTAGATGAACTATAATAAGGAGGCGAAAAGTTTAACTTTTA